TGCACCTCGCCTCTCGTTTTCCCTTTGTGTTTTTTTCCATTTGTTTTTTATAAACATTTTTTTGTAATATATTTTTTTTTAAGTTCTTTTTTTTTTTTTTTTTTTCGCAAATCCCCCTTGTGAAAATGGGGTTTTGGTCGGTTTTTTCGGGGGGGGGGGGGGGGGGTTACTTCCTTATAAGAGGCTAATGGGGATGTCCCGCTGGATGGGGTCGCTTCTTCACGACTGAATTGACTGTAATTGGGTCGCTTTTTCAATAGAGTTACTAGAATGGGATCGCACATTTTCGGATTTTTTGGGGTAAGACAGTTGTTCTTATTTACGGTCAGCAAACGTACCAGAATGTTTGTACTGTACGTGAAAAGTAGAGTGTTCTTCATTCAACTCAAAAAATGGGTCCATTCATAAAAATAGACAGTAACTAAGTTGGGATCGCGAAAATTACATATTTGCCCAGAAGTGACTAAGATGGGGTCTATAATTGGCCACAGAATATACCATAATGGGGTAGGGGCTCTGAGAGGCCAGCGCACATACCCTGGAAAAATTTACCCAAGTACCCCCCGGGATTTTTATGTAAACTTGTGATTAATTGTAGGTAAGGAAAGAGCAAACCAAACGTCAACAAAAAGTGAAAAGAAAACTCCTAAATAGAGGAAGAGAGGACAATAGAAAGTGGAGTAGCCAACTATGACAACTAATCACTCTTCAACATGCTTCCTGTGATAATGACAGTTGCTGTCAGCAAGGGTCAGCGGTGCAAATCTTTTAGTCTCGATAAGGATATCAAGCCTGGCATTGTTTCCATAGCCTGAGCACGTGGTACCAGGCGTTCGAAAGGGTAGCCTGCGAAGCGCAGACGCATTTCCGGTCGTCGCTTCTCTCCCCCGAAAAATAGAGAGAGAAGCGACGACCGGAAATGCGTCTGCGCTTCGCAGGCTATCGAAAGGGAAGAGAAAAGGGATTTTACACGCGCGAGAAGCGCGAAGGGCGGGCGAGGAAGGAGGGAAAGGGAATTTCCGGCCATTTTTTAGAGGCTTTTATTTTTTATTAATTGCTTGTAAGACGCTTGTGTGTGTATCTGTTTTGTTTTGTTTTGTTTGTTTTTCAGAAAAGAATTTTATTCAACGAATAACGGCACAGCACAGTTTTTACCCGGGGGGGAGTACTCCTCGGAATTCTTTGTGGGGGTGTGCCGCCCGGTTCTCCAAATCCTGCCCCTATTTCAGACCAAAAAGTGTAATTTTCCACACCCGTTTTCAGACCAGACCTCTAAAATCCATACCCGTTTTCAGACCTGGCCTTTTGGCAGAAACTATATTATCATTACTTAGATTAGAGCGCAAACAAAAAAATTCTTCAAATCCATTTCGAATTTGCATGTTTCTTTTTCTTTCTTACTCAATTTGATAAATACGTTCATAAACTCCCGTAGTTCCCTCGAAAATCATACCCGATTCCAGACCAAAATAGGCAAAGTGTATACCCGTTTTCAGAACAAAACGGCGCAAAAACCCTACCCGATGGGACGGCATATACCTACCGTATATAGCTTATATGAGGGAGTTCCTCCCCGGATTTTTTTAGAACACTAATATCGCTGTACGTTGTGAGGTCAATGCACAGAAGTTGATGATGGGCTTTGTATAAAGATATCAAGCTAGGAAAAGCAATCAGTTAAAAAAGCGTTCTAGAGAGTTTCTTTGTTTTTGGATTAAAAGAACTACCATTTCAGGACTTGTGCGAAAGTTTTTTTTAGGGATAGTTTTAGGTTTGCCAAGGCAGCGAAAAGCCATAAAGACTCGTAAAGAAGTGCATTTCGCCAAACGTGTAAGAATCGTTGTTACGTATATTATAGGGGTTTGTATGAAAACTTAAAAGCGATCGTTATTTAGGGGTCAATACTTCTCACCTTGGTGGTTTGTTAGCATTTATGGTCGTCTTGGTGTGATTCCAGGGAGTTTTCGGTTCTGCCGCTATTCTCTCTGTCCTCTCTTTGACCTTTTTTTATTTTGTTCTCCTTATGTATCATAAAAATATATCGAGAGCCGGAATGTAACAGAGCTTATTCTCGCTGGAATTGCATTGGAATTAAGGATTTTGCCGTCTTATTTGCCGTCAGCCGTCACGCAATTTCTACGCTCCGAGAAGCCTGGTTCTAGTGTCACTTGCTTCCTTCAAGATGGCGGCGGCTAAGCTGGGAAGACTTGCAGTGAAAAACACAGCGTTTTTACTTTGTGATATTCAAGAAAAATTTCGTCCTTCGATTATATATTTTCCGGAGATCATCAAAGTTGCTCAAAGAATGGTAAGAAGCTTTTGATTATTTTATTTGATCAAGGGCCTGCACCAAGGAAATGTTTCGCAATTATTCCGTCGTATTACTGTCCATTCTACTGCGCTTTTTGCACATTTTTAGTGACATGTCTAAAAAGCTGTGCGAAGGAAAGCCATACCGTGAGAGTCAAGACTCTCTTAAAGGTTTCTAGTCACCGACTTGATAGCTCCTGCTAGGAACCAAAAAATTGATGATTCTTAGTATTGTAGATTAATTAAACCAGTTGATACCCTGCGTGCCAGAGGCTTTTCATGCGCGAAAAAGAAAAAGAGACCCGCGCGAAAAGCCTATGGACCAGAGCGCCATCCCTTTGATAGCGCTGAGCCATCAACCCTGCTTATACCAAAACCCCCAGAATTTGGATGTTTTGCTGATTGGTTCCTTTGAGATGTCGAATGTTTCAAATGCTCTGATTGGATTACAGTCACAATAGGCGCGTGATCAGGACGAAGGTGGTTTGAAAGTGACAAAGATCAAATGCAAACAATCCATCTCGAGTCACGTATGTTTTTGCCTTTTGGAAGAGAATTGGAAATATCAGATGGCTGTACGAACAATAGCCAAAGTCATCAGAACATTTGATGGTGTGGAGGGAATAAGTGCAGAACAAAAAGAGGGCATTGTAAATTACGTTCAAAGGAAAGACATTTTGGCAGTCTTGCGGACCGGCTATGGAAAATCACTGGTCATCACTGCTGTTCCAGTTACTACCTGGTATATGCAGTGTGTAAAAGAGGGTCATTAGGTAACACATGAGTTTTATCCTGTGCCAAAATGATGCTTGTTCCAATGAATTTTTTCTCTAGCGGTAGAATTTGCTCTGGTGGGTTCTACGTTTTGACTGAGCAAATGTGCATTTCTTTTTGCAGCTTGTTTCATACTGAGAGGTCTTGACAAGCATATTGATTTTCTGCGGTTTAAATTTTTGGTCGGCATAATTTGCCCTCTAATGCAAGAGCATTTTCTTTGACCTCTTTTGAAATGTGAACTCCCTCTTTGTGGCTAAATAAACTTGTAGGTTGGTTAATTTTCTCCAAAGTGCCTCCTTGATCTGAGTAACTAAAAGCAATGTTTTTTGTCCGTGAATGTAAGTTTTCGTGCAATGTTCTGTCACACTGGGCCCAACTCGTCAGTAGTTTTTGCAGGATGTCAAATTCTCAGGGATACTGATTTACAGATCCCAATTTTGAAGAATGAACAGCAGCTTAAACTAAAGCTACATAAATTATGGATAACTGCACTGTGACTCATTCAAGATTGCTCAGACTTTAAGCAATGATTTTTAAACTCCAGCTTGTTTTTCTAAATATAATATGACTCTTTGGGCTGAAGTGCATTGTTCCTGCCTTGGTAATTACTTTTCCATTACCTTATTCACAATATCTGCCATCTTCCCATGCATTTTTGGAGGGATGAGATGAAAGTAATGTCACATGGGGGAAGGGGGGGGGGGCGGCGGGGGGTATGGCTAAACACTGCCCACCCTGAGCTTGCGTCAATAAGTAGCTGTGCTTTTCTGATTAGCCCTTAACTATTTGCTGCTTTTCCATCAGTTTGCATAGCACATAAGATTGGCAACATGAAGGGCCATTTTCTGGCTAAATGGATGCACATATTTCAAAATTTGGACTTCTTTGGGAATCTATTGCCAACATAACAATAATGGAAATAAGTTGTTTTGTTACCACCCTTGGTCTTCTAAAAAATTTCAGTTTAATGCATTCACATTCCATAAGCATAAGTTTACACATTATTTTTTCGTACAGGTTGCAGCAGCAAACATCTTGAAAATACCAGTCATTGCAACTGAACAGGTACTAAATCAGCCCTGTAACTGTGTCAGTTGTGTAGTACTAACACCTCACTTTACAGTAAATAAGTTTTTATTTCCCTTGCAAGAGCTTGGGAGAAAGAAAATGTACTTTACTTCAAGGTAGTAAGAGAGTTAAAGGAGCTCTGCCGCAAAATTTATCAAATTTTAATAAGTCCCAGCCGCCACCAAACTGAGTGAAACATAAAAATAGCCACTCAAAAAATTAAAAGAAGGTATGAACACACAGCAAATATGAAAGAAGGCACAGATGGAGAAACGTGTGGAAGATTAAAATGGATTGGAACTGTTGTTTTTTGAAAACTTGTTATAAACAAAAAGATTTATTTCACTCAGCTCCGTTTACATGTGATTCAGATAGATAAAGAAAAAGAGACAAATAAATACAATTTTTTTATTACATAAGTGAAGAATAAAAATTGTAGTCACTTGGTAAGGAGCAAGTTGGGATCATCCAAATAGCAAAGGCTAATCTAGTGGATGATAGCCTAACAGTTTTTCAAAGCTTTACTTTGTTATTGTAATTTTGATATTATGCTTGGGAAACATATTTGTTGGACAAGAATTAAGCTGTTATTTTGTCATTTGAAAGTAATTTCTTCTCCTTCACTAAGCTTCATAGCGAATAAAGATGCATAATAGGTCATTTGCACAATGGCATCATTTTACTACTGTGACAAGAATCCTTTTCGTTTTTCCTTTCTTATTCAAATTTGGTACTCCCAGCAACGTTTAAATAACAAAACCCCTAATTTGCACAAGAAAGCAAATCCTGAAAGATTCTGGTCGTAGCAGTAAAATGATGTCATTGTGGAATTGGCCTATTAGCAGTACTATAAAAATCTAGACAGCTGCATCACAGCCTCTTTAATGTCTTGCTTATATGTTGTTAATTGTCTTTTTTTTTTCTAAGTATCCCAAAGGACTTGGCAATACAGTAGAGGAGATTGACACCAGTCCTTTTAAGGAGCGTGTTTTTTCCAAGACAAAGTTTTCCATGGTCATTCCTGAGGTGGAAGAACAGCTCAAGCAACTGAATGTTGAGAATGTTGTGTTGATGGGTATTGAGGTATGCTCAATTTGTAGTCAACAAAAATAGTACCATAAAGTTCTCTTATCTAATTGTGCCTCTGCAGAGCCAAGAAAAAAAAGCTTTTGGTTTGATAAAATTTGAATGTTGACACTCTAGTTTGAATAGTTAGGGAAATGTCCAGGTAAAGCATCAAACTACTTCTTAGTGAATGTCAATACCTGTAGCCATTTGCTTTTTTGCAATGACTACAATAGTATGTCTTTTTAATAAAAATGACATCCAATGTGTAACTTACCAGGAGAAAAATTATTAAATTACAGACTGAAGTAGTGCAGTGTGATGACAAGAGTGGGTTTGGCAAGTGCGGGTGAAAAAGATATCAAAACTTGTGTCATGTCCATTATATGATTTCTTTTACCATCAGCTATTGTGGTCAACTGTTGTGTCAGTTTTCTCATACGTTTTGTGGGATTTTTTTCACGATTAAGTAAAAAGGTGAGCAAGTAAGGAGGGTTGTCCAATAAACACGAACTGAGTCCAGTCATCTAAGTGCTAAATTTTACTTTTAAGTTTATATATATACAGTTTCATGACTGTCATACTCTAAATGCTCTGCACGCAAGCAAAATTGCTTGGACATATGGAATCTACTAGGCTGCATTTCCCAAACCAATAGAACTTGTAGTTACCAAAAAATATAGTAAATTAATAGGAGACCACGAAGAATTAAAATTACAAGGTTAGTTTTGTTTATATAGTAAATGTGTTTCTTGGTAGAAATTGATCAATTACATGTAGATGTACCCCTTTGTTGCCTTGTACTGAACTATAAAAGCATAGTGAATTTATTGCTTTTAGACGCAAGTTTGTGTTCTACAAACCACAATGGACCTTCTAGAGAGAAACTATAATGTTCATGTGTTAGCTGATGGGGTGTCATCACGCACAATGGTTGAAAGGATGTTTGCACTTGAGGTAAAAAAATATTTAAATCTCTTAAGACTATTTTTAGCGTAGTAACTGGCAGTGACAGAGGAAATAGAACTACTAGGTAACTGTGTAAAATGGAAATATATATTTGTTCCTGCCAAAATAATTTATTGCAGCTTGTGAACTAGTCTCCCTCGCAGCCAATTTTTGGATGTCACGCAACGTTCTCCCAAAAGGGGGAAGCATTGCGTGACATCCAAAAAACGGCTGCGAGGGAGACTACTTGTGAACAGGCATTGGTGTTGTTGTTTCTTTTTTACTCACTTGTTACCCATGAAAAGCCTGAAGGATACAAATGGGAATACAAAATGAGGCCAAAAATAGTTGAGGAGTTACAGATAATACAAATTACACATTTCGCAGGAAACCACTGGTGGCGTCGCAAAATGTCGGCTCTTTTCTTCAGGTTAAAATGAAAACTGCTCAACAACTTTCATTGACGATCTCATCTACACACTTGAAAGTTTGATCCTGGAAGTGTAGGAATTAATATTATCGAAACCTTTGTTTCAGCG